CGAAGTTTTTGTATCTTTCCACCACTAACTCATCCGTAGACAAGCTTATAGTTCCGGTATCTAAAATTGTGCCAGGGTGTTTTTTCTCATCTTTTTCTTTTCTCAAGAGCATAATAATTCTTTCCACATTTTTAATGCATTCCATTAAATTCAACTGTGGGTTTTATGCACCAAATGCTGCTTTGTCTTCCAATAAGATTTACTATTTATATCACAAATTTTGCTTAATTTTTATCTTTTTAATGGAAGAATTAAGCTTAACAACTGAAATCCAATCTGTTTAGTGCATTTTTTTTTAAATTAAAACAGTTTAGGTTTATATTTCCTAATCCTTTGAAACGAAGCTTAGATGCAATGTTAGAGGGTGGTGGTTGTTGGGGAGGGTTGGAGAGGGGAAGTAAAAAAAAACCCTGCCATTTTTGTGGTTTTCAAACACACAGTTCATAATAGAACAGATTCTTAAAACTTGCTGACCCTTCCTTAGTTTTCTAGGACACTATTGTTTTAGTTATCTCAAACTAAAACCTATCATAGTTTTTCTCTTCACTGTCCAGGTCTGCTATTTCCTGTTTCTAGCTTTCTCAGTCTCTCCCTCATGCTCACATTGTCCCATAAATGTTCTAAAGAATAAAAGTGTCCAGCCAGCGAAAACCTTTGTTACTTTGTTAAATCACTAGCTTCAAATTCACAACCAGCTCTCCTTATGGCAGAGTGAGACCAAATCAAAGCTGCAGAAAGGATACATTTTTTTATCTACCAGTCAAACTATCAGGCTAACAAAATAAAATACTGGCTGTACCCAAATGACCATTAGTGGGCAGCAAAGAGTTAGAATTTCCAGTATTTCTTGCCCTCTTCTGGCTGCTTGGATTTTTGCAATGGAGATATGATAAGCTCTCTCTTTTTTAGCTGCCTTCGAATCAGTCTTGATTACTGCTGATTGCCTAGACTAGTCCATGAAGTTCTTTTGTCAAGATTTCAGAAGTGGTTTGACATTGCCTTCTTCTTGGGCTGAAAGACAATGACTGGCCCAACGCCCCCCAGAGGTCTTTGTGCCTAAGGCAGGGCTAGACTCATGGGCACCTGGTGATTATTCTGATGCCTTAACCATGGCACCAAACTGGTTTTCACAGGCATAATGTTGTAGGTATATTTTGTTGCCATTGTTAGTGGACAGGATAAATAATATGGGATTTCACCAGCATAACGCTGGTGAATAAATGAGTAATAAATAATAAATGAGCACAGGGCAGGTATTTCAAGCAGTTCAGCAGGGAAGCCAATTTACTCAGACAAATGATAGATTTCTCTGGAATTGTTAAATGAGGCTACTTGGGATACTCCAACTTCCCATACTGAGCAGAAGGTTAAATTTGATGGTCTAGATTTTATAATATAATGAATGAAATGAAACGAAACGAAATGAAATGAAATGAAATGAAATGAGTGAGTGAGATAGATAGATTTGGGCCAAGATAAATGAAGAAAAATCACAAAAGGAATCCTGAGTAAAAAGAACGTAAAAAGAAAGCAAATATCCCATTCTTTTATAAGCACCATATGGTGGTGTTTTGACTAAAAGTTTATAAGAATAAAAATATAAGAGAATGTATAGTAATGATCTCTTTTCTTAAGTGGCCTGAAGATTATGAAATACTCTAGGGGAATGATGAGCGTTTCAGTCTCCTTTCCCATAAGACTTTACATATTTTCAAAATAGTAATAATGCCAATATTTACCACTTTAAAATGGTTAGAACACTTTACATATTATTACTATTATTATTATTATTATTATTATTATTATTGTTGTTGTTGTTGTTGTTGTTGTTGTTGTTGTTGTTGTTGTTGTTGTAACTACAAGATAAATATTAGAATCAATAGAAGAGGGTAGCTCAGGGCTGAACGGTGGAGTCCTTGGTGCTCTCTGAATGTGGTTGTTTTCCTACAGACATTTTGTTACCAGATCATATAATATCCTCAGTGCTAGAAAGGATTGGGTTTGCTCTCTGTTTATATATAGTGCCTTGCTCTGTCCGTGTTAGTAGAGGTGTTGTTTTCTTCTTGACAGTTCCTTGATTGGGCTCTCTCAGAATCACTTTTCTGGAACACTAGGCATCCTGGTGGCTCACCCCAATCTTGGAATCTATAATTTCTAGATGCCAGGAGATGAGTCAGTATCACCTGAGAGCTATTTCTCGCCCATCAAGTGTAGTTGCGATCTCTTTCTAAACAATCTAAATTTCTTAAACTTGAAAAAAGCACTAGACAACCTATGACTCATTGAGTCTTCTTTTGTCAATATTTGCTTACTTAAAGAAATAAATAGATTGGCCATGGGTGAGCACAAAAGCAATGGGAATGCAATTTCCTGCTGGCTTCCCTATTGATTTTGCTTGTGGAAGCTGTTAGGAAGAGTGACAGATGGGAGAACAATCTCTTCTTGAAAGTCGCAAGTGATGGAGCTCCCACAATTTGGAATTTTCCAATTCCCTGTTTTCCCATCCAAGTACCAAACTGGATCTGTTTAGCTTCTTCCAGATTAGTCAAGGTTCTTTCAACTGCTCTTGCAATCTGAGGAATACTTCTATTGGTTGGAATCTATACAGATATTGTAGAGACTACTGCTAACTATGGCAGGAATAAGTTTTGTGATATAGGCAGGCAGCATTTTGGCCCACTATCTGCTATCCATTATCACACAGCTAATTTCCATTTTAAAAATAAATAGAAAATATAATGTTGGTTAATCCTGGCAAGAATCAAAAGTAATGTGCATTCTCCCTCAGAAATATATTTGGCAGTAAGAATTCATGCATTTGTTTCCAAGTGCCCCCCCCACCCCCATATGGACAGTTTTGGAAAACATCAACATCTTTTGGAAACAGTTTTTAGAATAAATTGCTACAACTGATTAATTAGGCAAACACAGCCAAGAAATGGGGAAAAATACAGACAGCCTCACCATGCTTCTTCAATAAACCCAGATTAAGGATGTGCAGACTACATTTCCCTACAGAAGATGCTATATCAGATAAAGAAATATCTGAAATAATATTAATTCATATACCTACTTTATGTAATAATATATTTACCTTGCCTTTCCAACAAACAGGATACTCAAGGAAATAGTATCCTTGAAAACTATTTTATAATAAAATAATTCATAAAATAATTCAGAATAGCATTAAATGTATATGACTGTTAACTGGAGTTGACCTGCATAGAAAAGATGGCAAATGATGGACAGGTTTCTAGGAAAAAAATAGTCTTTCACTGTCTTCCTCTTATTATAAGAAATGGTGGCCCCAATTTTGATAAAGCTTCTGAAAGTTCTGAAAGGAACTAGCTTTCTGCAATAAGTTTTTTCCCCATCTCTTTTTCAGTTGTGTCTGATTCTCAGAGTAGTAATAGACCTATATACAACTTCATAGTGCTTTATAGCACTCCCTAAGCTGATTACAGAGTCAGCATTTTGCCTCCAACTATGTGGGCCCTCATATCTCAGAAAGATGGAAGGCTTCAGTCAACCTTGAGCCGGTTAGCATCGAACTGCTGGCAGTGAGCAGAGTCAGCTTGCAATACTACATTGTAACCACTGCACCGTTACAGCTCTATAGTACCTAGATATATAATAATGATACAGTACTATATAGTACCTAGACAAGTCCCTATAATTTTCTTGACAAGATTTTTCAGAAGTGGTTTGCCATTGCCTCTTTTCTAGGACTGAGAGTAGGTGACTGGTGTAAGGCTTCATGCCCAAGGTGGGACTAGAACTTCCAGTCTCCTGGTTTCTAACATGATCTCTTAACCCCTGCACCAAAGTGGCTTTAGTAATAAGTACGGTATTAGGACTTTGTAAATCTTTGCTATTTTTATCAGCAACTTTTGCAATCTTTTGCCGTCTGTCCTATTATTTTGAAGTCTAGCGCATAATAGCACCTTTACGATTGCTTTGGTATTGTGCTGATACAATGGTAGCAGGAAACAGCTTCTTCATTGTCATGTTCTATTATATAGATCCTAAAACATAGAGCCTGTTTGATTATACGCATTCCAAGTTTTTTTCTGTTATATCTCAGTAATTTACTGCTTTAAGCAACTAAAAAATCAAGATCTGTGAGAAAAAAACATAGAAGCAATTATGTTAACTGTCTAAACCATATCACCACTTCACAGATGTTCCAGAATTTTAACATTTCATTTTAGAATTAGTCCATAGGCAATCATGAACTACCGCACAAACTAAATCAGAAGTATATATAATCCATTCCAAGAAATTGACAGATGGAATTTAAACTGGTAGAAAATCTCTCCTGCGAGCTAAGGATATTGGTGGCAAAACGGCTTTCACCACAACAAGTAGACTTTATAGCCTGTTGCCATTGTATGCAGAGTCTCTATGGGCTGCTGCTCTGAAAGGTTAGTGAAAGTGTGACCACTTACCTAGCCCATATATGGACATCATGAAATGTAAAGATCAATTTTTTATAAACATCAACGTATCACACTATCCAAGCAGACATTTAGACATTACAGTTGAATCTAAAAATACTCTGGAAATATATCTAAAGGATACTTTAAAAAGGCTCTGATTCCAAGCAAATGAACAATCTTTTTTAAAAAACTAGAAAAGAAACCATCATTTAAATTCCTTTAGTACTGGATCTACCTAATAGTCCTCCTTACTTATGTGTTCCCTCACCAAGCCCTCAACAGAATTAAACCTTACCAACCTCTTTTTAAGTCAATCTTTGCTATGAATCTCTATAGAATATTTCAAATAGATCATAGAATGGCAGTGGACATAAATAAAGTACAAAATGCAAAAGATTTTGCATACTTAAATTTACAACAGATCCAGAAAGCAACATATTTTTCTGATGTCCTAAGTATGCATTTAATGTTCAACTATATTATGTGTTGTATTGAGGAAGATTTATTTCCTATTTTAATGAAATTTTTAAAAATGATTTAAATTATGTAAAGATCACATACCTGTGTTTCAGGTTCTACACTGACACGATAAGCTTGTGCTTTTCCATCTTCTACAGTATTAGGTGACCAAACCTTGCCTTCAGCTCTGTAATGGAAAATTAAGAATTATACGTACAATATACAGTAGATTGTTAGTAAGCTTGAATATAATTTTATATATTTCCAAGAATCCAGAAACCTGGATGAATCAAAAACATCATTTACTTATTTTTTTTCCTGTCCTATTATATTCTTTTTATACTGATAAGTAAACTTTCATCCATCTATCCATCCACCCATTCGATCAATCAATCAATTTATATAAGTGTCCATTTCAAATTGATGACTCTGGGAGCTAACAGTTAAAAGCACCACGAAAGTCCTGATATTACAAAAACAATGCATCCATAATCAGCAGCTGAGTTAAAAAAGAAAAGAAAGAAGCCATCAGCAAATCAATCATTGAATGGGCTCTACCATAGATCCAAACTTGGTGACATAACTACTTCTTTAAGGCCTTATTGGTAACTATTAGCACCTTCAATTGAACCCAGAAGCACACTAACAACTCACAGAGCAGAGAAGTAGCATGTGCTGATCAAGGAGTACACATTATTGCCCATGTTGTTGCATTTTATATCCCACACAGCTTCTGGGTGTTCTTCAATGGCTTCCCCAATAAAATGCAGTAATCTATTTGGGAGATGACTGAAGCATGAGTGACTGTGAGTAGACTCTCTTGCTCTAGGAATGGGCACATGTGGCAAACAATATGAAATTGTACAAAGACCTGGCTACAGCTGCCGCCTGTTCCTTATGCCCAGGACATCCCCCAGATTGCACACCAATTATGTTTGAAATAGTACAGTCACCTTCAAAATTAAAGATGAAAAGTCCCTAGAACCAGGGTGCCCTAATATCCAAGACCACTTAGTCTTGCTAGGGTTGAGTTGAAGCCTGTTGTTTCTCATCCAAACATCCACAGTTTCCAGACACTAAACAGAATTTCCACTGTATCACATGGGCAGTCAGAGGTGGAAATTGGCATGCCTCTGAATGACCTCACAAAGTGGCTTCATGGAGATGTTAAATAGGAGCCGAGCAAGTACCACCCTGCAGAACCTTGAAAAGGAATGATTGCAGGCTGGAGCTGTCCCTACGGTCAACACGACTGCCTTGGAAGAAGGAAGAGAACCAGCACAACACAGTGTCACTCATTCCCAATCCCAAAAGCCAATCCAGAAGGATACCATTATTGATGTTATCAAAACCTGCCAAGAAGTCAAGAAGAGCAAAGATGGATGTACCGCTTCCATCCTGCTCCTGCCACATGTTATTTACAATTGCGATCAAAGCCATTTCAGGGCCATCACCAGATCTGATTTCCAACTGAAAAAAGTCCAAATACTCCACTTCCTCCAGCATTTTCTGGAGCTGTTGCACAACTACCTTTTCTACCACCTTTTCTAAAATTAAACATTATGATTTGCAATTCATTTCATTTGCTTAGGTTTTTTTTTTTAAAAAAACTGTAACAATAACATTTTAAACCTTTAGCCGTTTATTTTAGAGAAAGAAAAAATATGTTCTATTCGTTTAAAAATTGTCTAGCTTAACTATACAGTAATTAAAGTATTATCCCTTTCCGTCTTTCCATGATTAACTTAGCCATTATGCTCATGGTAAGGATTTCAAACATATTTTCAAATCATGGTTAAGAAATCTGATTTGCTTTAATTACTGAGCCACAGATAAAGCTGACAAGGAGGAGACCAAATAAATATTTGGGAGTGGGGGCAGAAATAAGGAAAAGGCATGAGTACCAAAGCTAGTAGTATCCTATGTACATCCTTGGCCTTCAATTTAATGCCTTAGCTTGTTATCTTGCCACAAATTAATCTTTTTGGACATCAATATATTAGCAAAAGTAGTCAACTGCTATCTCATCAAAACAACATAAATAAGATTTCATAATATAACTCACTTTGGGTATTTCTATTTTTCATTTTAGGCTGCATATGTCACTTTAGAATATGTAAAGGTTCTTATTCCTAGAAGGTAATAGTTAAAAAATGCAACTGAGAATCTTTATTTATATTTAATTCCTGATTTGTTAAACACTGAAGTTTAAGTGAACTGCTGGCATTAATGACACACGAACTGTTTACAACATGTAAGGGTTTTAGTCTAGAAAGTTTTTACCTAGGGACATTTTTTTCTTGTCTAAATGAAACAAGTCATTTTGAAAAAGTCAATTATATAGGCTACTCTAACTCTGATAAGAATGTTGTTCTCAATTTTTACAAGTGTTACATTCTGAAGCAAGTTCCACCATGTTCAGTGAGAATTAATGTTTTTAAAGTTAAAATTAAATAAAGACAGACAACACCAACACAAACACACAATGTACACACAGAACACAGGAAAATATTGGATGCTATTTACTGTCAATCAGCTGAAATAAGATACCAGAAAAATTATAGAAATTACAGCCAGATCATCCTGAGATTGTGAAATAAGCCCCCATGAACCAAATCCTGATTTGAAAGTGATCATAAAATGTTTGATAATAGTATGTCTTTTAATAGTAAGTTTATTAAAAATGACAATGATAAACTACATAGAAACTTTTTAAAAAACCAATAAAAAATAAAACGTGCAAAAAAAAATCCCTTCACATGGCAGGGAAGAGTTATTCAAGGTCAAGGATGCTGTGGAGGTTGAGGAAGATAATAGTTTTATCCACTAATACAGTGGCCCTCAACCTTTTTTGTGCCACGGCCCGGTACCGGCATCACAAAATGATCCGTGGCCCGGTACCGGCATCAGCACGCATGGCAAGGTGAGCCGAGCGACTGGCCAGCCAGCCATCCCCCGCTTCTCCCCGCCACCTTCAACTCCTCCTTTGTACCTTTGTCGATGGGCTTCGGGACAGCTTCGAGACAGTCGCTCAGCTCGCCTTGCCTTGGGTGCTGAAAGAATCCTCGTGCCTTAGTTTTGTTCGAAGCCGTCCCCCCTTCGATGAAACTAAGGCGCGAGGATTCCTTCAGGACCCAAACGCCGCTTTCCAATTGGAAAAGCTCACCGGAAGTACTTTCTCATCAAAACAAGATGGCGGCGCCCAGCAAACCGGTGGCCCAGTAGAAAATGTTCCACGGACTGGTACCGGTCCACGGCCCGGTGGTTGGGGACCCCTGCACTAATCCACTAATCCAGGGGTCTCCAAACTTGACAACTGAGGAATTCTGGGAGTTGAAGTCCACAAATCCTAAAGTTGCAATGTTTGGAAACTCCTGTACTAATCAAAATGTGAAATCTATGGTCTTATTTCAATTAAGGGCAAACCTGATTCCAAACAGTGAATGATTTTTTAAAATAGTAATTTTATTAAAAGATACAATTAAAAAGATAAACATTAATATAAACTAAAAAAGAGAATACAAAGAAAAAAGGAAAGTGAAGAAAAGGAAAAAATGAAAGAATAGAAAAGATTATAGTAAAAAAAGGAAATGAAGTGACTTTCTGCCTTTATCACAAGTATAAACAATTTTAGTAATTTATCACTTTCTCTAAAAATGCAACAAATGACCTCTTCTTCCCACAACTCATCTCTTATTAATAAATAAATCCTTAAAACCTCATCATTTAAATCCTGATTAGTAAAAATCCATTAAGGAATACCACAACTAGCAATATTTCTATTTTAATCTTGATCAAATAAGTCAACTTTATATTTTTTCCTTTTCCTTTTAAATTTTTTGATTTTTAGTCCTTTCAAATACTGTCCTAAAAAATTGATTAACTTTTCATCTTTATTTCATCTCCACAATATTCTTCAAAGCTTTAACAAGCCTCTTTTGTAAATCCAATATAGGAAAATTATCCAGGGCATTCTATTGGATTATTTTCTGTAGATCCCTTATGTAGACAAAAATCTTGTAGCAGGTATCCTCTTGAACTTTGTCTATTATGAATCCATCAAATTTAGCTTGTGTAGATTTATCCAAAGAATTGTTAATGAGTATAATGTTTTGTAGTGATATTAACTAATTTTAAAGAAAATATTATATGTTCACTCCCAAAAATACTTCTTTGGACTAAGAAGTGATCATTTTCAGATGATTTTGAACATAATGAACCCATGTTTAAATCCAACGTTGCTTCTCCACAAGTGTCCTTTTCAAGTACCATTTCAAGGGAAATGACCTGACATGTGGCATTTGCTTATTAGTGATTAAAGGTTTGACTGTTTTCCTGGCATTTCACTAGCTATTGCCAGTATTCACTAGCCATTTCACTAGCTTTCCTTAACAATTATTCCTTAACAAGCATTATTTTAGGATTGAACTTATATAATATTTTACTGATTTGTCCCATTTTTATTCTATATATTGGAATACAAGTTTATCATATAATTATGCTTATTTTACAGAAGGAAAACAGAAATTATAGGTGGTAAAGAATGAAGTTGACCACTCTAACTAACAACCCATTCTGAAAATATACATCCTATTTATGTTCCCAAGATACCTTCAGATGGTATTTTAACATTACGGTATCAGTCGGTTTCTATATTGTGCTAGATTTCACATATGGTACTAATCTAGATCTTGCTCAGTTTATGTTAGTATACAATTCCTTTATAATCACCACTATAAACTTTCCTTCTCTCTTCACTTGACAAGAGTTCTTAGTTGCTATAGACCACCAAACAAATACTTATTTACAAACCTTCTTTAGCATATGTATAGGAAAATTCTTACAAACCTGAAATTGTTTCTCTAAACAAGTAATGAAATGAAATTCTAGTTAATCTGTTGGCAGCAAATATTCTTCCTCCTTTTCCCCACCTCCCAATAATGGCTCCTGAATATAAAAGTTGATGGGTGTTAAAACTTATTATGGATCTTGTGTATTTAAATCAGAGATCCGGTGTTTCCTCAAGAACATACCAGAGGAAAAGATGTAATTAATATTATACATGTTCTTACCCCAAAATCTGAGAAGTGATTCTTTTTTAACCTATGACTCAATCTGGAAATTTGAGAAAATTATGAATAATGCTTTTCATGTGTACCAATGTCACTTTGCTGCATACAACAACAC